GCCGCATACCGGCGATTCTTGGCCTCGTGCGGCGTGCCTAGACACCCCGGGAATACTTACGAGGTGTGCCTACAAAGTAGCATCATTTTTCCGAAATAAATCAACTATACAATAACAATAACAACAACAACGGACTCTTGGAAGCAGCCATTTCGAACAGCCGATCAATAAAAACGTTTACCGTCTCCGCGGCGGTCCCGAGATTATGTGCTGAGATTATTTTCCGGGACTGTGACTGTGCCGAGATTATGGTAGAGCCTTCAGCTGAACTGTCACGGTGGATTTAATGCTACGAAAATGTTGCAAATTGCAATCTTCGAGACGGAGTTGCAACAACGACGCTTTTTCTTCGGCCGAAAATTGGTTGTGTTCAATGCGTTGTAACTTTGGGTAAAAACGTGATGTAAGGTAATGTAACTAGACTCGTTTTAAAGCGCGAAGTCTCTACTTTCGATAAACGTAGGCTAATGTTTATTTCGAAGACGTTTTTGCAACGAATAGCTACATTTTGTGGCAGACGTTTATGATGCAAATTGAGGGATCGCGTACCTTTTGCTTCGAAATTGTTCATATTCAATTTATTGTAGCTTTGAGAAAAAAAATCGTAGCACGATCTGCGAGGGCTTATTTTAAAGCTCGAAGTCTCCACTTTTGACAAGCCTAAGCTATCATCCGTTTAAAAAATTCTTCCGCGATGAAAAATTTGATAATGTGACGCACCCTTTTAGATCAAATTTGAGGATCACTTACTCCTCGGTTTAGAATTGTTCATTTTCAATGTATTGTAACTTCGAGAAAAAAAATCGTAGCACGATCTGCGAGGGCTTATTTTGAAGCTCGAAATCTCCCCTTTTGACAACCTTAAGCCATCATTCGTTTAAAAAATTGTTCCGCGATGAAAAACTTGATAATGTGACGCACCCTTTCAGAACAAATTTGAGGATCGCTTACTCCTCGGTTCAAAATTGTTCGTTTTCAATTTATCGTAACTTCGAGAAAAAAAATCATAGAACAATCTACTCACGCTTATTGTATTATTGTATGCACGTATATTGTATTATTGTATTATTTTCTTAATCGGTAGACGCTATTGCAATAGAAAATTGAATATCTCATCGTGCGTTAATTATAGAAATCAGGTCGATAACATCGACGCCGCTAATATACATAACATACATATACATAACTAATAAACATAACCAGTTGCTAATCGGTGGAAAACAGCGGAACAGAGCGCGGAAGATCGAGCATCAGTCATTCATTAAGTTTCGGATTAATCGAACGCATTTGTCGATACGCAATTCCACGGTAAACAATTTACACATCGAGAGCCGGCCAACAACGTTGCGCGATACATGTGTATATACATACTACGTTTCCTATACGTCCCGCACAAATTTCCAATCCAATCTCATATCTACGTCAAGACAGAGCCTGAACAGCGATTTCTCAACACTCCGGCTCGCCGAAGAATGGATTCCTACTTGGTTTCACCGGCTCCATATCCTCCAGGAATATTTGAAGGATTTCGATGGGATTTCGAAAGGGAATACACCGGCGAATACGCTTCCAAAGGAATATTAATACAGTCGGTGCACGCGAAACGAATCGCGCGCCGGGAATTTTAATGCCGAAAGAATCGTGCGACAACATAAATTCATGATGCGCCCGGCTACAATTGGAAATCCATTTTTATTTCGACATTTTTGCACGCCCCCGGGGACGGATATTTCCGCTGATTGCTTGCAAAATGCTACATTTTCCGTCGGACCTCGAGGTATTTTGTTTGCAAACCGATCGTTGCGTCGCGTACTATAGACAAAATTAAGAGGGAGCTATGTCATCGCACAGCTGTTTTATCGATCGTTTAAAAAGATACGCACTTTCGAACGTTTCAATGTTTTGTAAATTCTTGCGGAAGAGACGAAGGAATTTTTATCACGGAAACTATCGATCCTTTCGATACGTATCGTTATCTTGTATCGGCCGGAGAACGTTCGTTCTAACGCGGGAAATTGTTTCTTCGCGAGAAAGTTCATTCTTTAATTAATCGTCGAATTAATTAGCATTCTTTAAATTAGCAGGTAAGATGTCCGAGAACTTTGGCCGATATTTCACTCGCGAGCACCGTTTTAAAAACTGTACGGAAAACTGTGCAGTTCGGGAAACTCATTCGTTAATGAGATACAGCGTTTGTTGCATGAAAACGTATCCTCCCATTATTGCTGCTGACGCATTATAGAGCCACGGAGCGCGCGCGTGTGTCGGCTAAAAAGTTGGGCAACGAAGTAGAACTGCCTTCGGGCTAGCTATAACCCCGCCAAAATGGCACGCTGACTTTTATTCGTTCGCATTCTCTATTTGCCTGCGCCGTTGGACAAGAATGAAAAGATGCCCCGGAGACCTCGCATTAAATTCGTTAATATTCGATAACAATTGTACATAATCATTGTAATTAATAATCGGTGTAACTAATAATAATTACGATTAATAATAATTATAGTCAATGGCAATTATAACTAATAATAATTACGATTAATAATTATTATACTCAATAGCAATTATATAACTAATAATAATTACAATTAATAATTATTATAGTCAATAGCAATTATAACTAATAATAATAATTACAATTACATAAAATAATGATTAATGTAATATATTATATATAAATAACATATAATATAATATATTATATAATAATATTATTAAATAATCTATAACACACATAATATATTATATAATAATATTATTAAATAATATATAATACAACATATTATATAATGATACTAGTAAGTAATATATAATATAACATATTATATAATAATATTATTAAGTAACAATCGAATCCAGTAACCGAATAATTGTCATCGCTCGATCGAAACGCGCAAAGTCCGTCCGCACAAAAAAATTAAATAGAATTTTGTTGAAATTCTTCCGTTCTAAGAGCCAAGCTGAAGATTGTTGAATAGGATCGGTCGAAGGTCGGTGAATATGTTCGAAGGTCGCGTTGAAAATTTTGCAAGCTTCGACTATTTTTAAGCGAACTTCGTCGCAACGGGGACAATTGTTTCGAAGGGGGCGTTTATTTTGGTGAAACTTGCGAAATGGTTTTTCTTTCGGACGAAACTGAAACGGCGACAGCAGAAGGGGGAAACCGTTTCTTCCGAGCGTCGTAGGTTCCCCGGTCGACACGGCCAAGTCGATACCGAAGGAAAACAATTTGTCAACGCGACGTTTCCGCCGTGATATCGAGCTTTCTTCCCGAGTTTCCCCGAGTTCTCGTTACCGTTTGAGCTGACGATAATTTAATATTATGAGTGCCGGGGCCAGAGCACTGCTTCATTCGCGGTGAAATGGGAGTCGATCTAGTGATAAACACTCGGCGTAGTCGAAAATCGATATTTACAACCGGCGCCCTTCTAACTAACGCCGGCTTACAAATGATCGTAACGTTTCTTTCTTCTCTCGCGCGATCGAACGATGTTTTCCCGCTCGATATCGACGATCATCGTGAACAGTAATTATTTCCTAAGTCAGAATTAGCAAAATTAGGGAGGGTTTGTGTCATCGCATCCCCAATTTCGAATTCGTTTAAGAAATATACAGACCTCTGAATTGAATCAAAAAATTCGTAGGAATTTAATTCAGCTAATAAGATATTCGGAATTAATCGACTGTCGCGATCGATAGCGAAGATTTTATCGAAAATAAACGATTCCATGGTGTAAACCGTGGACAATTAGGGGGGGTTTATGTCATCGCTTCGCCGATTTCGAATTTATTTAAGAAATATACAGACCTTTGAATTGAATCAAAAAATTCGTAGGAATATAATTCTGCTAATAAGGTATTCGGAATTAATCGACTGTCGCGATCGATAGCGAGGATTTTATCGAAAATAAACGATTCCATGGTGTAAACCGTGGACAATTTGGGGGGGTTTATGTCATCGCTTCGCCGATTTCGAATTTGTTTAGAAAACACGGGCACTCGAATATTATAGATACATAGATTACGTAGATACATATTTTTACATGAATAATTAAGGGTCGCGATATATTATAATTTTGTTATCTTAAGAAGGACGGCTGGCCTTGTTGTACACGAGTTTGTTATCGTAAAAGAACGTTTTACAACGTTTAAAATCTTGACAGTACGCGAAGCTTCTGTATTTACACGTTTTCGCTGACGTTCCACAGAAATATATAGAAATATATCCATAGAAATATATATGGCAATTTTGATCCTGAAAACTGTCGGCCATGTTCGATCGAACCTTTTTTGGTTTCAATCGAGAGGGTTCAGGCTGTCGTCGACTATCCTTTCGTTCGAATCTAGCGATCATTTTTAACCTCGGTTAATAAAACGCGAAACAAGCTCGGGTTAAATGAAGGCCGCGTGAAACAAGGGTTACTCGTAGGTGAGCATGATCCTCCTCGAACAATCTATTTTAGCAAACACGAATGGCGAATCCAGAGTCCACATATCGTTCCTTGGTTGAATACACATCGCACTGGAATAGTATCGAACCAATCAAGCGCTCCAGAGAAACTCTCTCTCTCTCTCTCTCTCTCTCTCTCTCTCTCTTTCTCTCTCTCTCTTTCTCTCGCTCTCGCTCTCGCTCACTCGCTGCCTGTGTCTTTATTGATAGAGAGAAACCTTGATTGGAATCTTTAGGACTACCCGCTAAAGTGTGCAAAGTCAACTGCCACAGTCAACTCGCATTCCTGCGGCGCACGGAGACACTGTACACACATAGTAAATTCTCCCTAATTTTTCCTTCAGCTTGTTCACAAGAATGAAAAGTTTGGGAAGATAAATTTGGGAATATATAATCGCGGCTCGTTTTTATAATCGTCGACAATCGGCGACTATAAAACCGAGCCGCGAGGCTCGAACAATGGTGTCACCTCTCCCCAAATTGTCCATTTTCGTTAATCGAAGTTGAAGGAAAATTGAAGAGAGTTTACTGTATCTGCCATCATTTTTTTCAGCTCTGTGAAATTCCCATCAACGAAGTTACTAAACGGTGGACAATATCGTGACGACGATTTTCATCTACTTGAAAAAGCAAACTTAAATAGACAGCTCAAGGCAAGAAACAATGGCGATACAGGGCTACATACTGAACAGTGGCCAAGGCCCCTACGTCCCGAACATTTCCCTGCAGGAACACATACTGAACATGTTTCGGAAGGACCTCGACCGCACCACGATGGTAAGTTCTGCATTGTTGTTCCACGTTAATTGATTTGAAAAAACAACGTGCTGCTGAAATATTGAAACGGATATTGTAACTTTTTGATATATATACACAGGGTGTCCCAAAAATGCCTCGCAATCCGAAAGTAGGGGATTCCTGAGGTCACTTGAAGCAACTTTTTCCTTAGCGAAAATGCAATCCGCGGCTTCGTTTACGAGTTATTAACGAAAAGCAGTGACCAATCAGAGGCGAGATCGTTTGGCGCGAGACAGCCGAGCCAATGAGCGGAACTGGGCTCCGTGCACTCGTTGGCTGGGCCGCCGCGCGCCAGCCGAGCTCGCTTCTTATTGGTCAGTGTTTTTCTTTAATAACTCGTAAACGAAGCCTCGGAGAAAATTCTCGCAAAGGAAAAAGTTGCTTCAAATGACCTCAGGAACCTCTCATTTTCGGGACACCCTGTATATCTTTGTACATTATTATTTATCAGTGATAGTATTATTTGCTGTGAAGCGAGGCCAAACTTGTTGCTTACAGTTGAACACATTGTGAAAACCGATATAGCATAATCGTGGACGATTACAATTGTTAATCCGATCTGTCACCTTTATAGATAGACGTTGACACTGGAACATCCTACACGTCCAGGTATCTCCTCGAGGCGTCTGTGAGACTGGCGCACGCCTTAAAAACTTATGGCGTCGAAATGGGAGACAGAATTTCTATAGCCAGCGACAATCATCCTAATTACGTGGTGGCTGGAATCGCGATACTGTCTGCTGGCGGTATCTACGCGCCCTTGAATCCGGCTTACACGGAAAGTGAGTGTTAGAAAATTATGGCAGCGACAGAATCACGATAACAGAATGAGAAAAGGATTTTAGCGAACCCTAAATCTCGAGAAATAATAATAGGTCAACGACAAAAAAAATAGAAAAACCGCCATTCGATCGTTACATTTATAATTTAATAAACGGGTGAGCAAATAATAAATATAATTGCTCCGTTTGCAAAATCAAATTTAGCTCGTTATAATAAATAATGTTACAAAAACGATTCAACGAATGGGATACCAAGTAATAAATATAATTACTCAAATTATCAAGTTATAAATTTAGTACGATATTTTATACGATAATAATATAAACAATATACATTAATTTGTTTAGGGGAATACAGGCACATGTTAGACATCATTGAACCCCGTGTGATGTTCGTGTCGCGGAGGTGCGAGGCGATTATGGCAAAGATCGCGCCGACCCTGAAATCGAAGATGCACATAATCCAAATCGAAGACGAAGCCGTCGACAGCAAATTCCCAAGGATCAAGCAACTGGTGGAAAAATATAAGAACGCGGTGGACCCTTACACCTTCATGCCGTTGCCAATCGATGACAACACTAAAAGAGTAGCACTAATCATGGCGTCCAGTGGAACCACAGGCTTCCCTAAGGGTGTGGCTTTGTCTCATCAGAACATGCTGACATTCATCAGCAACTTTCGGTAAAATTAATCGACTATAGTGATTGTATTGGCGTCTAGTAAGTCTAGTGAATCTAATAAATCCAGTGAAATTGGTGAATCTAGTAAATTTACTAGATCTTGTAGAATATAGTAGAATTTAGTAGAATTTCATAGAATATAGTAGAATAAAGTGGAATATAGTAGAATTTAATAGAATATAGTAGAATAAAGTGGAATATAGTAGAATATAGTAGAATATAATAAAATATAGTAGAATAGAATCCAGTAAATCTAGTAGAATCTAGTAAATCTTGTAAATCTACTAGAATATAGTAGAATTTAACATAATAAAGTAAAATATAGTAGAATGTAGTATAACGTAGTAAAATCTAGTAGAACCCAGTAAATCTAATAGAATCTGATATACTTAGCACATAAGCTACATATTCAGTAGTTGTAGCAAATCCTAGGAAATGCAGCAGAATTTTCGACGAAAATTTGTTTAATTAATTATTACAGACAGCCGCATCTATTCGACTGCAGAAAGGACGATCAACTTATCAACTTCTTGCCGTTGTTCCACGGCTACTCGTTTGGTATATTTCTGTTAGCAGTATCCAATGCCGCGTGTATTTGTCTAATGAGACGATTCAATTTGGAGACGCTTTTGCAATCCATCGGAAAATACAAGATCACGCACATGCCTTTGGTGCCGCCGGTGCTTGTGCAGATTGCGAAACACCCGCAAATTACAAAGTACAACTTCGACAGCGTCAGGGAAGTACTCTGCGGTGCTGCGCCCCTTCCCAAAGACGTGAGTTTAAAAAAGTGAAAATAGTAATTTCAACGTTCATCTTCGTTCATCGTTTCGCCGAAATTACGTGAAAAATCGTCGACATTCGAATTGCCGTAACTTCGTGAAAAATGAACGGAATGTGATCTGTCCGATCTCGTTCGAAAGCTCGAGGCCTCTGCTCTTAAGTCCCCGGGGTTCGCTTCCTTAAGTATACTCTCGCCGGTGGAAGAGCGCGGGAAAAGACGGGTCACAAATATCGTCGATTTATTGATCTCCGCGAACTTCGAGATATTCAACTTGTCGTAACTTCGTCAAGAAAAATCGCGCAACAGCGTGCTTAGGCTGATCTTAAGCCTCGAAGTCTCTGCTATCGCCATTGTTGACCTCAATTTATCCAAACTTTCTACCGCGAGCTAAACAATTTATCGACCCGAGTCCGGTCGTTTTCCACCAAAATAATCGTCGATCGAGACATCAGGCGATTCGAACGTTTTTCTCCACATCCCCGAGATCGATTCCCAAAAATCAGCATACACGCATTAAACTACAACGTTTCCCCTTTCGAACAAGCCTAATTAGACCCCGCTACGACCATCGCCGCCAAATTGACGCGGTCGCAAATATGTGCCCCGAAATTTCCAGATGGCGGACGAAGCCTGCAAACGAATAAAATGCCCGAGCATCCGCAACGGCTACGGCATGACAGAGCTGTCGATCGTCACTAACCTAAGCTCCAGAGATTGCGGCAACGAGAATGACAACGTTGGCCCCCTGACACCCGGCATGCTCTGCAAAATAATAAATCCGGAGACGGGCGAGGTGCTGGCTCCGGGTGAAATCGGCGAGGTGTGCTTCAAGGGCGACCACGTGATGCTGGGCTACTTCAAAAATCCCAAGGTCACGGCCGAGACCATCGACAAGGACCAATGGTTGCATACCGGGGACCTGGGCTACCTGAACACCGACGGGATATTGTACATTTCCGGCCGATTGAAAGAACTGATTAAGTACAAGGGCTACCAGGTCTCACCTTCGGAAATCGAGACGCTGATTCAGTCGCATAGCGGTGTCAAGGACGCCGCTGTCATCGGCGTGCCTCATCCTGAGAGCGGGGAGGTGCCTATGGCGTTCGTAGTCAAGCAGCCGAACAGCATGGTCACCGCCGAGGAGATTATTGCCTTCAATAACAGTCAGTCCGCGCGAATGATTTTATTAGATTTTTACTTGAATTCAATTCAATTCGTTCGATTGTTCCGCTGTACGAATTGTTCGTTGCACGAGCTTCGCCGGGATTTCGTTTACGATTGTCATTATTGTATTTTGTCGGGCAATTTTTCGAATTTTTATAGTCAATTTTTATAATTTTGCAATTGCAATTATACTGCTGCAATTATACACATTATGAAATTGTATATTAATATACATTATGTACAATTCAAGTAACTCGTGCAAATTGGATATATAAATAATGATATACGCTTGTAATTGTATGTCAGATGTATGATAATCAGTATTTATAATTGTATATTGATATATGTACACAATCACGTAGTTCAGAATAAATTATTATATTATTTAATATTATTTCGTAAATCTGTAATTGCATGCAAAATGTATCGATGTACAATTACAAATACCAATTATTGTA